CCAAGATCCTCCCCCTCCCTGGGACCCTAGCGCGGGAAGGGACTTTGTTCCCTTTGTCCCCAAAGCCCGCCACTGTGAACACAGGGTTTCCCACACTAGCCGCCAGGGGTCCTCTTCCCAGGAGCCTCTGTGCCTGGGAGACAAGGCACGGGAAAAAGGGGCCGTGCCTTTGTCTCCCAGGCACAGAAAAGCCCACCAGGTGAAAAAGAGCTGGTCTCTTTGTCCCTGCAGGCACCGTGCCCCATGAGTGTCCCCACCAACCTCAGGAAACCTCACAGCGGCGCCTTCCTCGACCAGGCTCTGCTCGCGAGGTCCCGGTGGAAAACCCGGCAAGGAAAGCATCTCCTTTCAGAATACAAATGCTCCCCCTTGATGGCATTTGTCTATACGAAATGGCGGTCACCCAGGGGAGCACTCATTAATTACTTACCTTGCGGTTTCACACTTATGTTGCGAGTGCAAACATTCGGATTAATTGGTTACAACGTTCCAATGGGGCAGCGGGGAGGTCCTTGTTCAGGAGACTAACGAGTCGGGAAACAATCCACGAATGCTCCCCCTGGTGGAGTTCGTCTGGACGAATGGCGGCCACCCAGGGAAGCACTTATTAACTGTTTCTCTTTGTGGTTTGCAGATTGACACCTATGTAGCGAGGTGTGAACGTTCTAACCTAACATTCTAAATGGTGGTCCCCTTTGGGAGGTGAATGGATTCCCTTCGTGGAAGACCTCCCAAATGGGGAGCGGGCACAATAAACAAAAGAATGGGGAAAAAACAAAATAAAGAAAGACATCTTGAGTTTTATTGTTAAAACATTATTTAAAATAAAATGTATAATACACCATCCAGTGTCGGCCCAAGGATTATTATTATTATTATGATATTTATAGAGCGCTGTCAAATTCCGCAGCACTTTACAATGGGTGGACGAACAGACATGTAGTTGTAACCAGACAAGTTGGACACACAGGAACTGAGGGATTGAGGGCCCTGCTCAATGAGCTTACATGCTAGAGGGAGTGGGGTAAAATGACACAAGAAGGTAAGGTTGGTATTAGACTAGTGACAGTTGCAGAAGAGGAATCAGTCAGGAGCTATTAACAGTTTAATTGGTACGCTTTTATGAAGAAGAGGGTTTTTAATGATTTTTTGAAGGAGTGGAGACTGGGTGAGCATCTAACGGAGGAGGGAAGCGAGTTTAACAGGAACGTTGCAGCCCTCGAGAAATCTTGAAGGCAAGGTGGGAGTACGGACAGTAGATAGACGTAAGTCTTCAGCAGATCGTAAGGGCCTAGACGGGACATACTTGTGTATAAGGGAGGATAGATAGGTGGGAGCAGCATTATGTAGAGATTTGAAGGCAAAAACCAGAATTTTAAATTGAACTCTATATTTTATAGGAAGCCAATGTAGGGACTGACAGAAGGGTGAGGCATGGGAGGTGCGGGAGGACAGGAAAATGATGACGGGATGATATGCATCCCCCCACCTTACATATATACTTCTGCAATGATAGTGTCTGTGCTGGGAGTGAAGTTTGTGCCTGTGTGAAGTGAGTGTCTAAGTGTTTGCTAGGGATTACATGTGTCTCTGTGTGTGTGTGTTTGCTGGGGAGGAAGTGTGTGTCTGTGTGTACTTGTCAGGTTCCTATCTTGACTAGTAAGACTTTTTCCATTTGATACCGTTCCTTTAAAATACAGTACCTGGTTCTCGCCTCTAGTGGCCTCCCTAGCCACTAGTCACCTCCAACTCTCACCTGTAGAACATGAAATCAAGTTCTGCTATAAAATGCCACACCTGACAACACATGTAGCCTTGATATTGAAGTTTGATGATTACCTGCAACTACTTCACATCCTGGCTCCTGAGTTTACCTGTGGAATTTCCTTATTGGTGACTTATCCTGCAATACTTACCAACCTGCTCCAAACTTACCTGTACAACTCTTCAATCCTGTCTTATCTACAACCCTGCACCAAACCTATCTACCTGCTCAACATCCAACTTACTCAAAATCAACACTGGACTTTCATTTACTTTGTGGAAACTGTTTACTATTTCCTCGGATTTACATTTCTTCCAATCTACTCTGCATCCTTCACAAAGGGCCTGCATCTACTATATAACCCTTACCCAAAGAGACTGAACAAGTGCAAACCTATTTAAGTATTTATATTTCTGACTAGTTCTGTTTTCTTATTCTGTTCTGGGGCATATTGCCTATATCCTGTTTTCCTATTTCCCCTGTATATATAACCTCCTTATAGGTTTATCATCTATTACTGCCTATAACTTCTTTTATAGGTTTACCTTATTGCAACTTGGGGCATATTGCCTAAATGCTGATTTCATATTTCTCCTGTGTATATAGAACCTATAATTTTTCTAATGGGTTTATCTTCTGTTATACTTCCTATTTCTCCAATTATAGGATATCTTGTGTTTACAAGTACATCTAAAATATCTAAAGACCCTGCAATTAACCCCAGTTTAAGTCTCATCCCTAACCTGCACAATATCATGAGAGTTATAGGGATGTAGTATGTCTGTGTGTGTGTGCTGGGGATGAAGTGTATGTGTCTATGTATGCTGAGGAGGATGTAGTGTGTGTGTGTGTGTGTGTGTTACATAGTTACATAGTTAGTTACATAGTTACATAGCTGAAAAGAGACTTGCGCCCATCAAGTTCAGCCTTCCTCACATTTGTTTTTTGCTGTTGATCCAAAAGAAGGCAAAAAAACCCAGTTTGAAGCACAATTTTGCAACAAGCTAGGAAAAAAATTCCTCCTTGACCCCAGAATGGCAGTCAGATTTATCCTTGGATCAAGCAGTTATTACCCTACATTGAAGATTATATCCTTGAATATTCTGTTCTTGCAAGTATGCATCTAGTAGCCGTTTGAACATCTGTATGGACTCTGATAAAACCACTTCCTCAGGCAGAGAATTCCACATCCTGATTGTTCTTACAGTAAAAAACCTTTCCTTTGCCTTAGACGAAATCTTCTTTCTTCCAGTCTAAACGCATGGCCTCGTGTCCTATGTAAAGTCCGGTTTGTGAATAGATTTCCACACAATGGTTTGTATTGGCCCCGAATATATTTGTATAATGTTATCATATCCCCTCTCAGGCGACGTTTTTCTAAACTAAATAGGTTTAAATTTGTTAACCTTTCTTCATAGCTGATATGTTCCATTCCTTTTATTAATTTTGTAGCCCGCCTCTGCACTTTTTCTAGTGCCATAATATCCTTCTTTAGAACAGGTGCCCAAAATTGCACAGTATATTCAATATGGGGTCTTACCAGTGATTTATAAAGAGGCAAAATTATATTCTTGTCCCGAGAATGAATGCCCTTTTTCATGCATGACAATACCTTACTGGCCTTGGCCACTGCTGATTGACATTGCACATTGTTGCATAGTTTGTTGTCTATAACAATTCCCAAGTCCTTTTCATGTGTTGTTATCCCTAATTCGCTTGTGTATTCTTTACGCCGAAGTGCATAACTTTGCATTTTTCAACATTAAATTTCATCTGCCATTTGAGTGCCCAGTCTCCCAGTCTATCTAAATCCCTCTGCAGCAAAGTAATATCTTGCTCACATTGTATTGTTTTACAAAGTTTGGTGTCATCTGTAAACACTGAAACATGACTTTCAATGCGGTCTTCAAGATCATTTATAAACATGTTAAATAGAAGGGGTCCCAGAACAGACCCCTGAGGGACACCACTTGCCACCTCTGTCCAGCTTGAAAATTTACCATTAATGACAACTCTTTGTACTCTGTTTTTAAGCCAATGTTCTACCCAAGAACAAGCATTTTCATCTAGACCGATTTCCTTGAGTTTGAACACTAATCTATTGTGTGGAACTGTATCAAATGCCTTGGCAAAATCCAAAAAGATCACATCCACGGCAACACCCTGATCTATACTTCTACTTACTTCTTCGTAGAACGCAATCAAGTTAGTTTGACATGACCTGTGCTTCATAAAACCATACTGATTTTTGCTGATAACCATGTTAGTGTTGTAGTATATGTCTGTGTGTACTGGAGATGTAGTGTGTTTGTGTGCACTGCAGCCAATACACTTACCTATACACTGTGTGTGTATATGCAAGTGTGTTTGTTTGTATCTGCATGTGCAACTCTATGTGTGTCAGTATATGTACCAAACACTGCCACACATGCAGATACTGACAAACCTACAGATGTACTGATATGCCTGCAGATACAAAGACATACACACTGCCACATAGGCAGATAAGCACATACAAACACACCGATACACACACTTTAAAAAATTAAGCCACCAGCAATTATTAACCTATTGCTGGCTGTGGCTGGTGGGAGTTGGGGGCCTGCTTTCCCGATCAAGCCCCATTCTTGCGGCTCAGTCTGTGTGTGTGAGCTGTGATGAAGTGACCGGCTGTCACTTTCTCCAAGCTCTCCTTGCAGATAGAGTCCTGACCGCGCTGCTGAGCTCAACTGGGCCTCTCATTGCACATGTCTATTGGGTGGCCATACGAGACCTCTCTTTCTCATTAGAGATTTCTTTGCCTGAAACTCAAGGAAGCAAGGTGAATAATCAGTGAAGGACCCACATGAGAGGTTTGTCTTGATGTGGCAGGTAGGCTTGCATCTAATGGCCATTGGAGTTATTAAATAACCCATTTATTTAAATATGAATTGCAATTTTATAACATGACAGGAGGCTTCATATTTGCTTAAGGCTCTCTTTACTAGAACTCCACAGCAGCACAGAAAAAACAACCAATCAGAGAAAAGTTAAGTACTATAAAACTCCCCTTCCCACACATAATTTCCTCTTTCTTTGCTGCTCTGCATCAGTACAGGTCAGAGTACCACTGCCTCCTGCTAATATTAGTGGGTGGCTTTGGGATTGATTTGTTTATTTGCAGTAATTTAGATTTATCTGTCTGGGAACTTAATAATTTTCTGTAGCTTTATTCCTACACACATATCATGCCTCACTGTAAGGTGTTTATGTCATTTCATGGCAGATACCGTATTAATCATCTGCCTGTTTTCTTATGTGATAGCCATCTTTGTAATTGCTTTGTCAGCTAGCAATGGCTTATATATGTTTGTGCCGGATTCAGGGGAGTCTTGGTAGGCTTTTTCCGCCCTTCCTGTACCCGTGTTTTCTACCCCCTCTACTATCCCCCAGATACTCTATTTTCCTTTTGCCCCTCTAAGTCAGGCTGTATTTGTGCCGCCCGGGGTCAGCTGGAGGCTGACAGTCTCACCCCCTCCTACCTCCCGGGCTCCAGGACCGCGGAGTCCCCTCCGGCGGTCCCGTGTTTTTTCTGACGGTCCCTGGGGTACTCGAGTAACCGACGACCTGATCTTCTTCCTCACTTGGCCGCGTTCCGCGGCCGTCTCCGGACCGCGTGTGTCCGACCGGATGGAGGAGTGGGCGCTTTGATCGCAACCCCTCCCCCGGCTGCGCATGCCTCTATGGAGATCTGCTTACGGGTTTCTTACCCTGATGGAAGTCAGGCTACTACCTGACTTTGTGTTACTATTCTGCCTTAATAGGCATTCGTACTTTATTTGTACCTATAGTAAGTAAAGCTTAGTAGACACTCAACATTACTTTTTGGTAACTAAAAATCAATGCATATATCCTCATACATGGCTGTCATAAGTTTACAGCTTAGTCTTTCAATTTTCTTATTGAGTGTTTTAGTTTTTTCTGTACTTGCTTTCCTTTGTGCTTAAAGCAAGCAGTTACTTATGTCACCATTTTTTACATTAAATCATACTACATACTGTTGGGACAGTTTTCATGTGACTGTATCAGGCGGTTCTATATTTTCTTTGACCCTGCATCAGATTTTACCCAAACCAGTCACCATAGCAACCATTCTAAAGTATTATGCTCAAGAAACTAGGTTGGGATGCAGTTTGGGTACTATTTAATCTGTACTATACTGGTTTTTTTTTTTACAACATGGATACTCCAGTGAACAGTGTCTGCAGGGCGTTTAGGGGACTGCCAGAATGCCTATTTAAGTGCTCTTAGCACACTTTCACACTACCATGAAGGCAGGGCCGCCACCAGATATTGTGGGGCCCCTAACTCAGCTCAGGGTCCGCCTCCAAATCCCGCCCACAGGAATACACACAGGCACAAAAACACACACTGATACAAAAGGACACCGATATATACACAGATACATACTAACAGACACACATACTGAAACAGACATACACGCATATAGGCATACGTACTGACACACACATACTGAGACATACACACATATACAGGCATACATAGTGACAGATAGACACATACTAACATACAGACACACATGCATGAGGACATACACATACATACACCGACATACATACACACAGACATACATTCATAAAGACACTGACATCCATACACACATACATACACAGACATACATTCATACTGGCATACACGCATATATAAAGACATACTGACAGACATACATACATACATTCATATATACTGAGATCCATACACACATACACACAGACATACATTCATAATGACATGCAGACGTACATTCATACTGACATACATGCATAGATACAGACATACATTCATAATGACATACATAATGACAGGGGTTCTCAAACTTTTAAAACAAGGGGCCAGTTCACGGTCCCTCAGAAACTGTTGGGGGCCGGACAATAAACAATATGAACAAATTCCTATGCACACTGCACACACATGCATAAAGACATGAATATACACACACACACATACTGACATACATACATATATAAACAGACAGACACAGACATATACATACATACTGAAATACATACAGATACATACACACAGATAGACATGCATACATACACATACTGACTTAAACACACTGACATACATACATACATACATACATACTGACATGCATACAGACATACTGACATACATACAGACATGCTGACATACACACAGACATACTAACAGACATATACAAATACAGCTAATTTTTCTTACCTTTTTTTTGCAGGTGGAAGGCTGTGGCTGATGGGAGTCGGCGTGGCTCCAGCGGCATGGCTTTCTTCCCTCCCATGCGGCGCGGAGAGGAGGGAGCTGGGAGGAAGTGACGGGGCCCGGTCAGTACTTTGCGGCTGCAATTTTTTTAAAGGGGCCCGGTCGCGCTATTGCCTGGCCGCAGCGCTGACCGGGCCCCTGAAGATACAGGGCCCATCGGGTGACCCTAACTGCGTGGGCCACCCAATAGGCCCCATCAGCGTGCGGGCCCAGGTGCAACTGCACCAGCGGCAGTTCTGCCGCTACACGTGGGGCCCGTGCCGCGTGGCCCGTGATAACCGTTATGGTTGTCACCCCCTGATGGCGGCCCTGCATGAATGTTTAGTATTTCAGAGGGTTGTGCAGTCAATTACCCCCAAGATTCATTATATATATATATATATATATATATATAAAGGGGGCTCTACCCACGCAGATGTTCCCCCTGCTGCTGGCAGAACACAACTCCTGCGAGTGGACGGCTTTGTCCGTGCCCCATTGATTGGCCTGCTATGTCTGTGCTCCATTGATTGGCATGCTGTGTCTGTGCCCCATTGATTGGCCTGCTATGTCTGTTCCTCAGTGATTGGCCTGCTGTGTCTGTGTCCGATTGACTGGCCTTCTCTGTCTGTGCCCATTTGTTTGGCCAACTCCGTCTGTGCCCTAATGATAGGCTGACGTTAGCCTGTGCCCGAACCCCCCTTTGGCCGCAGGCCTGGTGGAATATTAATGATGGAAAGCCCAGTACACACTATTGACACGGCTGCCATATTCCCGGAGGTGACACCGGTATACATGCACATTAATATGATTGGAAGGGTGAAGGCCCTAAACATCACGCCCTGAGGGGCAAGGCTTCTACTAAGTTACCGGGAGGACAACCTCAGTTGGCTCCAACCCGGCGGTAGCACATCTCCAATTCCGCTCTGATGCACATACAAGGACCAGGGCTCAGACGCCAACAGGGGATTACGGTAATCCCTTGCCTTTAGCAACTAACCATTAGCTGCATGTCTGGATAGTTATTTCTACATCATGCTTGGTTCTTGTCCCCTTTTAGACCGGTTTACTGGTTGTTTACTTTCTTGTCCGTTGTTTTTTCCCAAGGTACGTATTTCCTGTATCGTATCCTTTGGTTTGTCGTCTCTCTGTTTTCATGTCTTCTCATCTCCTGTCACTCAGGCCGTCGAGAGGCCTGACTTGGCCCCTCGACTTCCCGGGCTCTTGTGAATCGCGGAGAACGTCTCCAGCGTTTCCCCAAACTACTGGCGGTCATCCTGGATCCAGCACGCTGGGCGGTCCGTTGGTAGATGCCATTATTTCTTTCCAAAGGTTACATTCTCTCAGCATCCCTTTTTGGTCATTGCAGATGGGCACGGCCCAAGGTTAAATACTACACCATCTACCATTGGTCTGGTTTATTCCCATTTGATCCCACCAGAGAGAGATCTCGGGTCAGAGAGGGACCCTCTTCAGGACCTCAGTCCTACACTGATATTATTAAAGGTGTACCCCGCATTCGCCCAGCCCGAGTTCGATATGGTCTCTAGTTTGGATTACAAGAGGGTGCGGCCCTCCATCACCTCGGCCCAAGACTGTTATTTATTTACACGAGTAGAGAGCGATCCCTCTCATTTACTAAACCGGACACTGACTCCATATTAGAGGGTGGGGCCCTATCAACTTCAGTCCGATACTGAGATGGATACAGAGGACAGGTTTTGAGTGTGACCCACTCTCATAGAAAGACCCGGACTAGGATGTAGACACTAATTTTGTTATTAATGGGTACGGCCCGCTCATACCATCAACCTGTTGCTGACACTGAGTTCAGTTACATTATTAGAGAGTGCGGCTCTCTCATATAATCAACACACTACGGTGCCGTCCCTTTGTTTCGTCACACAGGCTTGTACCTGTACAGGACAACGATGACTACATAGAGGGGCGTCCCTCCTGCATTCAATTCGAATATGGAGATGCGTACCACATACCGAGTTTACCGCTGACGCTTCAGCTCTGGTATAGGCAGGGGCGTACCTAGAGCATTTGGCACCCGGGGCGGATCCTGTGCTTGGCACCCCCCCACCCACCCCCCTCCCAAAAAAAAGAAAAAAACCTGTAAAATTTTTTAAAGGTTCTCTTTTTTTTTTTACAATTTGTAAACTTTGCAAAACCGCTGTCAGCCCCTCCTACAAAACCCTTGTCCTGTCCTGCACCTCCTACAAAACCTCTGTCCTGTCCCTTCTACAAATCCTGTACTGCCTCGTCTACAAAACCCCCGCAACCCCCTTCCACAAATCCCCTGCTTATCCCCCCTTATAAAGACTCCTATCCCAATACAAAACCCCCGCCCCCTTCTACAAAATCCCTGCAGCCCCACACACACATTTACAGGCAGACAGTCACACACTCAGTTACAGACAGACAGTCACATACAGTCACAGGCAGACAGTCACACATACACATTTCCTCCGTGCGGCCAGTTTATCAGCTGTTTGCTTGTGTGAGCTGTACTGGCCGCACGGCACCCTAACTACCATGGGACACTGTGCAGCCACAGCTCACACAGCCCCCTCCAGCCAGGCCGGTGCAAGGATTTTTGCCGCCCTAGGCAAAAGTAAAGTTTGCCGCCCCCCCCATGTGACATCACAATGCCCCACCCATATGATTTGCCATGTTAACTAACGCCAGTGCTGCAGTGCCGCCGTGTTTACATTAAAAGGCCTGCAGGAACCCGAAGATATAGACACCAGAACCACTACATTAAGCTGAAGAGTGGTTCACCAAGGACTACCTAATGTTTCTTGAGTAAAGTGGAAGCTTAGTGCCACGAATAATATACTAGATTGCCTACTTACAACCAGATGAGGATGATGATGGGCTCTAGCTGCAGTCTGGCTCCGCTGGTCTGGTGCAGAACAGGCTCTCTGGAGGCGGTTTGTAACTGTGGTCACAAAAATCAATGTTCTGGGAGAACGGGAAGCAGCTCCATTTTTTGGGGGTCCTTTGCACAGCTCAAGGTCTGGGTCCCAGGGTCCACCTTCATGTTCCACCAATGAGTTTGTTCACAGGGGGTGGAGTGTGTAGGGGATATCCTGATATGTGTGTAAGGAATGCATTGTGTGAATCTGTGTTTGTATGTGTAAGGGCTGCAAGGTGTGTTTCTGTGTATGTACGAGATGCATTGAGTGAGTGTAAGGGGTGCATTGGGTGTGTGTAATGAATGCATTGTGTGTTTCTGTGTGTGTAAGGGATGCATTGTGTGTAACGGTTGCATTGCTTGTGTATGTGTGTCTGTGTGTGTAATGCATTGTGTGTTTTTCTGTGTGCAAGGGGTGCATTGTGTGTATGTGATGAATGTCAATCTCGCCTCCCGCTCCAATTTCCTTCTCCTCCTCCCAATTTCTCTTTCTCACCCCCCTCCAAATTTCTCTCCCCCCCTAATTTCTCTTTCCCCCTCCTAATATCTCTTCCCCCTCCTAATTTCAATTTCTATCCCCCCCTTCTAATTTCAATTTCTCTCCCCCCTAATTTCTCTTTCCCCCTCCTAATTTCTCTTCCCCCTCTCCTTTCTCTTTCTCTCCCCCTCTCCTTTCTCTCCCCCCCTCCTTTCTCACTTCCTTTCTCACCCCCCCTTTCTCACCCTCCCTCCTTTCTCACCCCCCTTTCTCCTCTCACCCCTCTCACCTTTTCTCCCTTTTTCCACCCCCTCTCTCTCCTCTTTGCCCTTTCTCCCTCTTTCACCCCTCTCTCTCTTTTTCACCCCCTTTCTCCCTATTTCACCCCCCCCTCACCCCCCCTCTCTGCCTCTTTTCCCCCTCCTTTTCTCTTCCCCTCCTACCACCTGTGTAGTAGCGTGGCGGGAGCTGAAGTATGACCGAGGGTACAGGGGCAGCTGTCTCCTATGCCGGCGGGACTGCTTCAAGGAAGTGCACCCCACACTTCCACCAGTCCGGCAGAGATTTCCAGCTCCACTCTCAGGAGCTTCCGACACCCTCCCAGTGAGGAGTGACAGGGAGGGCGCTGGCAGCTTCCCTCCTGTCAGCCCCTCTCCCAGCGAGGCCTAGCAGCCGGGCAAGCGCTGCTGCAGCCGCCTGAGGCTCACTACAGAGCGCTCGGGCGGCTGCAGCATGGGGGGGGCGGGGGCTGGCCATGGCACCCCCCACCCGGCTGGCACCCGGGGCGGACCGCCCCCTCCGCCCCCGCTTAGTATGCCACTGGGTATAGGGGTATAGTACCTCACCGGTATGCAAGGGAGACTATGCTTCACAACGACTGGGCAAGGAGAGAGAACTCCTACATTAGATCTAAGGACCGTACTACCGATTTCGTTATAGAGGGCTGCCTGTTTGTGCAGGGTATACATGTTTAGACTGGATTCCTCTATTTCACCTCCTATAATGGATCCACTGGATCCGGGCCACTATTCCCCTCGCAAGATATACTCTCGGAGGTATTACTAGGGGAGATTCCCCGCTTATTTAATCACTCCCTGGGGACTTTATGGGACAGTATGGGGGCTGTTTGAACCGACCATCTTGGGTTCAGCTCCCAGGATTGGCCCATTTTTGTTGGTGACCCTATACTTTCCTATTGGAGGTACTCCTGGAGACGGTACGGCTAATGGATGAGCCTCAGTTATTACAAGAGTGTAAGTTTTTGGTATATTCTGCGCTATATCTAACAAGCAATCGCACTCTGTCTAGGTTAGGCAGACCATTGCGAACAAACTGCACAGACAGTTTTTCCCATGTCAAGGTGACATAAGATCATGATGCCTTCATAGAGCAAACGTGCACTGCCTTGCTCGGGTAACGATACTGGGGAAGGCCCAAAACCCGGTCTGCAGCTACACCGTATGCAGGGATCACATGGAAAGACCAGAGTCCTCGGTTGACTTGGGTTCCCTGGTCAATAACAATCTTGGGATAAGATTACAGGACTGCCTCTACTCCTCTGAGAACATGGCTGGAGTACATGATTCAGATATGGAGGGCCCTCCTTTCTATACTCTGAATCCCTCATGGGAACTGTCTTGGTTTTGAGTTCGCGCTACCCACCTATTCAACTACCATCAAGGAGACCTACTTGGACTCCATGGGGGAACCCTATGTGACCCACATCAAGGGTCGAGACCTGGTGGCAGTTTCTTCTCGCGGACCAAAGTCCGCAAATGACCTTCAGCATTTTACATCTACAGGAAAATGGCTAATGAACCGGCTGCTAGGAAACCGGTCGCAACCCCTCATACAATGGATCTAACAGCGGATGGTGTTTTCCCGTATTTTGGGGTGCCTCTACAACTGGCATCTTCATCGATCCGTCTGTTGTCACTTATCGCAGTTGGAAAGTCCATTTAGGATTGCTCTGGTATCTCCCGGAATAGGTACCAG